GAATGAGGATTTAATATTTTAAAGAAGATTGTCATACGCGGCTTGAATGATGTAAGGTTCCCACTGATTTCGAATGCAGTAAACGTGAAAGACTTCTTCAATTTGCGGTTAAATGCACTTTATTTCAATAGGTAACAGAAACAACAACAAATCTACATATTAGGCAAAAAAATTAGTCTATCCTCCTCAACCATCCAAAGCCTAGTAGCTCTTGTAGGCTACTGGGGCTGGAGTAGGGTTGCCCTGCCTCTCAACCACAGCGTTGAAACCATGGCCTTCATCAGAGTACTTGACCACTCGTACAGTACCATCAGCTTCATGGAGAGAATACTGTCCAACCACATGGTCTCCATCGCGTTTCTCCTCTTGGGAGTGATAGTCGCCAGTGTGAGGATCCTGGATAATGTAGGCGAACTCGTACTTGGCTGGGCCCTGTTCTTCTTCGTATGCCACATAAGAGGGACGTTTGCCCACTGAAGCTACCTGGATAGGAGCTGGAGCGCTGTAGTATGAAGGAGCTGGGGCCACTTTAGCTACAATGGGAATGGCGATTTTTCGTTGAGCTGGGGAGGAGTAGCTGGGGTAACTGGGAGAAGCTGGGGCCGACTGGACGTGGTTTACTGAGTTGTGGTTTTCGTTGAATGAAACGAAGGATGTGGCCTGGCTGGTAGCTGGGCTGGCCACTGCAGCCAAAAGGGCGCAAATTGCTACAACCTGCAAAAACATTAGTAGCAGTGATCAACTGGCGGTTATTAATTCGTTAGATATAATTTAAACCTACTTTGTACATTGCGGGATATTGAATCTGAAACGCACTGATTTCTGATGTGATTGAAGAAAACGACCAACAGTCTTTTTATATTCTATAATTCAGCCTACAGGTCCTCGCATCGAAGCCACCACCCAAAATCACTCCAAACCTACGATTATCTAATAAAATGTGTCTGGTCTAATTAGGCATGTCGCATCGAGGAATCTGAAACATTTCGCAAGAAATTTGCCTACAAGAAATGTGGTGACAAGGTCGTGTTATGTCAGAGAAATGTGACCCAAGTGGTGAATTCTTCGAGCTGCTGGACACAATTTCATTTCACCTCGTCACTGATTAGCGTTTTTTAAGTACATTGGGGTGTTTTGTTGGAAATTCATTTTATCTCGCGTTCTTTCATGTAAAAATTGCCAGAGATCATGTCTTTAGGTAGATGAACTGTAAAAAATACAGTGAACTTTCAGGAGTGAAATTTGCATAACATTCGGGGGTTGAGTTCTGCTTGAAGGAATTTTTAACTTGCAAAAATAGGATTGATTTCGGTTTCCAGAAAATTCGTAGCGAATGATTGTTTTCTTTTCTTTGAGTCGATTTTCCACTTTTAAAAAATTCCCAAGGTGTCTTTTGTTTTTGCAGCAAAAATGTAACACTTTCCCTGGAATTTCGAATTTTTCGACTTCACGATCAAAAATTGTAAAGTTTTGACGTATATTTACGGAAGCGCAAGTGTTTAACTTCAGTTAAGTTTTACACGCAATAATTTTTGGTTGTTTCTTAACCCATGTGTTGCTAGTTCTTTACACAAATTTAGTTATAAAATATAGTAAATATACTGAAAAGTATTTCAATGTTTTGAGCGCATTTTGAGTCAGGGGCGGATCCAGGCAATGTTGGCAATTTTCTCAAAAAATGCTTGAATTCAAGAAGTTTTAGATTTGCGTGTTTTTTTGCGTTGCAAAATCCACTTGTACATGACGCTGCTTTTTTCGAAGTTTCTCAAGAACCATTCGAGCCCCATAATTCGTTTTGGAATCGTTGGATAGAGAATTGAAAAGTCGATTCAGTTGTAACAACGTGAGTGAGGAAATTCGAGTAGTTTTGACCCAGAAAGCGAAATTTGAATATC